CCACATGGCGTGGCAGACCTCTCCTGACCCTCTTGCTCCCCTCAGCAGTGTACTTCGTTGATCTGCCTGTTCTGCTCCCCACTCTGTCTCTGGTGAAGTCTTTTGCCGCCCCTGAGTCTCTGGCCTGTACCCCAGTTCTGTATGCACAAATAAATAAATCTTTAAAAAAAAAAAAAAAGACAACTCTTGAAATTCTACCCAAGTCTAATGGCCCAGCCCAATACCACCTCCCTTTAGGAGAACTGCCCTCCCGCAGGTTTTATTTCTTCTTTTTGCAAAGCACTCATTGCACTGAAGCCTCTCCAAGATCCTTCTATTGCTCTGCAGAAGTCTTTGTACTCTTGGTCTTTTTCTCCCCTGGGCTGAGAACTAAGTCTTAGCTTCATTTTTCCTAATGCATGCTGTTCACTCCCATCAATTAGCATGATGTTTTGCACATGGTTAACTGGAATAAACATTAGTTGAGGGAGACAGCGACTCAACATGAGTTTTTTTTAAACTCTGAGAAAAAATACCACAAACCTCTAATAATCATGAATCAGCTTTGCTCTTGCTAGCTGGGCCATACCATAGGCCTGGTAAAAACAATGTAACTCAGTGGGAAGTATATCACTCTGTAAACACATCACATGTCTGAACTAGTATGAAAGCATTCTGGGGAAAACTTAAAAGAGAAAATGGCTTCAAGGCATTATAAATAAACCATCTTAAACGAGAAATGCATGGAAAAACCCTAAACATTCAGAGATACAGCTACACATGTATAGAAGCACAATTTCAATATGACACATACCCCTTGTTCATCAAGCTTGAGCAGCTGCTCTGAGACCTTGGCTGAATTCGAAGCCTGTCTCAGGCACTGTATACTCAGCTCTGGAATGACGTATTCCAGTACTTCTTTGAGAGGCAGTCCTCGGGCAGTACCATGCCTGGCAGTAGAGGGGATAGCATCTTCCAAAATTGCTCCTCTTAATGTTGTAAGCTGCAAGGACAAAGGCAAGGCTTCAGTTACTATTTCTTCTTGGTTACCTCTCTGAATCATCATTTTTTTAGCGGTCATAAACCAAGAAAGGTAAGTCTCTTTTTTGAATGGGGCAAAAGAGACTAAGGTTCTCAATCTAATGACACAAGATCAACACAGCCAGTGTTTAGAAAACACAGGGGGGATCAGTAGCAAGCCAGGCAGGGCTGTACTAATTAGATGTGTGTGTAGAGAAGGGAAAGGGCAAGCTAGGCAGTGCTCTGAGGAAGAGACAGGCCTACAACTCCCAGAACCAGCAGGACAAGGATGCAGAGCAGAAAGTGGACTTAAGGCTGGGTATGACCTCGTGTTATTCCTTTTTCCCTTTTTCTTTTCTCTAGTTCTCTACATCCTCTTTTTTCTCTTCTTGCCGATGATTCTTGCAACTGAAGACCTTGGGAGACCTTGGGAAGGCTGATGTAGGGTTGAGAAACCCACCACACAATCTGGTCTCATGGTTTATTACTTTGATACATCTCAAACATATGGCAATGCACAGGATTGCTCTTCAGACACATCTCAAATCCAGGATGAGGAAAGAGGACAGCCCAGCACCACAAATCAAGACACTTGGTCTAATTCTGCCCCCTGAGGCTCTCCAGAGTTATTATATTAACAACAGTGGATTATGGTGCCCATGGAGGTGACACATGGAGCCTAGCGTTTGCACACTGCTCTAAGACACCACTGCCCAGCAGAACCTTCGCACTGTTTTATGCAGGAGCCAGGTGGCTAACCCTGGACCTGTGACTGGGCTAAAGAGCTACTATATTTTAAAATTTTATTATTTTAAATTTAAATAACCACATGTGGCTGTGAATCAGGCAGTCCAGGTTATAACTTAAAATATTCCTGTTCCTGGGGCCCTCCCTGGTGGCGCAGCGGGTTAAAGCACCACACTAAGAAGCTTAAGCCACTTCTGCATGAGTTCCATCCCTGCCTGCTGGGAGATGACCACATGGCGGCAGACCTCTCCTGACCCGCCCGCAGCTCCCCTCAGCAGTGTACTTTGTCAGTTGGTCTGTTCTGCTCCCTACTCTGTCTCTGTGAATCCTCTCACCCTCTGCATCTCTGGCCTGTACCCCAGTTCTGTATGAATAAATAAATAAATCTTCAAAAGAAAAAAAATCTCCTTCCTGAAAGGAGCTTTATCTCAAGCATCTCAGCAAATGCCCAGATGGCTGGAGCACACTACATCCCCCCCGGCACAGGCTCATACCACAGAGGGCCACCAGCAGCAGCTCTTTTTCTCTGACCTGAAAGGAATTAATTAACCAAAATAGCATTCCAGATCTCAGGTGACCCTTGAACAACACCCAATCTGAAGTGTGTGGATCCATGTTTTTCTATCAGTAGGTTCATTATTTACAAATTCAAACAGCCATTGACATCATTTATTAAATCCACAGAAGCAGAATCTGAGATACATAGAGGTTGAGTATATTATGCTCAGATTTTCAACTGCACAAGATGTTGGCCACCTGAATTCCATGTTGTTCAAGGGTCAACTGCAATCACCAAATATATGCCTCTAAAATTAAAAATGAGTCACGAGAATAAAATCTAAGGTGCAGGCCAAGTCTAATTCTTTATGTAAATCAATATCTCCACCTATTTGGTGACACATATCACGCCATTTCTGGAATTATCTCAGTATTTCACTTTATTTTCAGAGCAAGGAGTGCATCTAGGAACCCCCTGCAAGGAAGTCTGGACAAATCTACTCTCCTAGCAACAACACAAAACCAGTTATCATTCCATCATGGGCTGTCCGACTTCCGGTGTTAGATTTGCAAAGTCCTTTCTAAATTGTGACATGAACTGCATCCTTCAGGAGTCTCCTGTGTTAGCCCCCACAACCTTGCATGCTTATCACTTCATTCTTTCTGTCATGTAAGGCAGTGAGAGAAGCATTGCCACTGAACATCCATGACAGGTTTTTATGTGCAATAAAATACTGTAAATGATCATAAGTGTTGCAATCATTCATATTAAAAAAAAATGCAACTATTTACATTAAAACAACCCAAGTGCTAAAATCCATGGTGTCGATCCCACACAGCAGGACACAAGCAGCTCCTTACCTCACTTGTCCTGAAAGCCACCCGGTAGTTGAACTGGGACCCTTCTTTCTCCTTGGCGTCTTCTACCTTCTCTCGCCGGATACTGATTGCCACAGGTCCCAGGTTCTCATCTATTCCAAAGTAGTTCTGGTGCTCTGAAGGATAGATCCATGGCATCAAAAAGGGCACAAAGCAACAGGATGGCATCTCTTAGTTTGTATATCTAATCTCTGAAGAAATATCACATGGCTCTGGGTACACAGTTTCCCCAAACGGGTTTGGTCATACTTTTGTCCCAATTAGATGTTCCAAATCGACACTGGACTTTCCATTACTTTTCCTCCTCACTGTGATTTCCACTATTTCATCAGCAGCAGGACCCTCCTCTCTATCTGTTCCTAAGTTATGACTTGAACATTATGTAAAAAGGCCATTGGAATGAGGGTGTTATCACCTTTAAGAACTGGAGAGGAACCGAATTGCTTATAGGGCCATCACTGAACAGGTTCTTCCAGGCGGGAAGGTCATCCTTCAAGGAACTGAAAGTTCAAGAGTTTTAAGTGCCCAGCCACTTAAAACTTGTCAGGTTAATCTTGGCAACCCATGGGTGGCACAGATCACCCTTTCATCACCATGTCACCAAAGTCACCTAACAATCTAAAATGTTTATCAATAGACAGAACATATATAAAAAGTCATTCAGTTGCTGAGGTCAGCCTGTCCAGACTAATGTCATGACTGAGTGTGATTATGCTATCAGTTCATTTCTTCTGCATAAAACTACTAGTCCTAGAGTGACCCAAATACACACAACCCCACTTCAGGAATGGGCCTCTGAGACAGTCTTGTCCATCTTGCACATGAATCCCAGAGAATATTCTTTTAAGAGATGGTTACTAGTCTCATTCTTACACTTAACATCATGTCCCAGGCACTGTGTCAGCAGCTGGAGCACAGTTCAGGAAGAGCCCCACGCAGAGTTCAAATCTGAACTCTGCCCATGAAGGAAGTTCACTGCTTATGGAGCAACCCTTCTTCTGGGTAAGGGGACTAGGTTTCTTCATCACAATTGAACTTTCTAAGCTTTGTCTTCTGAACGGAATCCAATTTAACAAAACAATTGCATGTGGTCCAGCCTATATAAAATGGAGGGCACCCTTACCGAATGTTTATTCATACAGCTCATCTATGTTTAGCAGCCTATCATACTGATGATCTAAGCAGACCAAGCAGTAAAATGACAAACCACAGGTGTTGGTCACTTCTTTTTTAATGGACAGCTGTGACACCACTTCTTCAAGGTGCACACTTACAAAATCAGTTTTTCACTTTGCATACAAAAGCCCATCTCTTCCTTTTGAATATCACCTTAGGTTTTGACCAATCTCTCCTAACTCTTAACTGTTTAGTTTAAAAGAAACGTAACTAAGCAAATATTTATAGGCTTGAAGAAAACAGGAATTCCAAAGGCATTTGGTCATTATGCTAACAATGTCCACCCCATTAACTTTCAAGGGGATCAGAAATGTTATTCAGAAAAGAGAAAGAGAGCATGTGTCAGAAGGAACAAGTATCACCCATGGCCAATGAAGACTACTGACTACCCCTGAAAAGGCACATTACTAATTTCTTTACTTCTTGCAACCAAATGAATGACACTGACAGTGTCTTCCCTTTAGAGCCAGTCAGGACGAGAGCAGCAAGTCAACCATTTTAGGGCTGAAGGGTAGCCCTGGCTTTACACAACAGGAACAAGCCTTTGTTTTTCATGGTATCTCCTCTCTTCGGTAAATAAATACTGACAACAGTCAGGTGAACAGTTACAAACATAAGCAAATGTGGTTCAATTAAACACACATTTAGGAAAACAGAGGCAGTTGAGGAGAGCTGAACCAGAGCAGCTATTTATGGTTTTAATCAACAGTTTAAAAATAGTTATGAAAACAGAGACTACAAGTTAATTGTCTACTTAGATTGCAAGACACTTAGCATTTTATTGTTTCTTTCAGTCATTATTAGTGATTATTAGAACTATACTATAATTTGTGAAAAAAATGCCTATTCACTTAAACTACATGAGTGGGATTTTCTTAGCTGCAACTGGTAACTGTCCAATTCATTTTTACTTCAATGAGTTATTTATCTCCAGCTAGTTGCATTCAGAAGTGCACAAAAACATAACCAGTCACCAGTAAGCTTCCTTCTCAGCACCCCTTCCAAGAAGTGACTTACAAAAAAAACTTACAACATTTGCTACTAGGTGTCCAATGAACCACAAACATGAATCAAAAGTTTCACATCTTTTAAGGGGAAAAAACAAACAAAACTCCTTTTGATGGTAAAATTGAGAGCCCTGATTAAACAAACAAACCATTAATTTTAATCCCTGAAACCACTAAAATATTTTTACAGTATTTACATATATACATATATGTACACACATATATTTTAAATCATTCTTCATTTTGTACACATTTTAAAAGATTTATTTATTTATGCATACAGAACTAGGGTACAGGAATGGTGAGAGGATTCACCAGAGTGGGGGAACAAAACAGGCAGATCGAGGAGGTACACTGATGAGGGGAGCAGCAGGCAGATCAGGAAAGGTCTGCTGCACCATGTGGATCACCTCCGGGGTCTGGGATTGAACTGTGGTTAGATTGTAGTACTGTTACGCCACCAGGGAGGGCCCCATTTTATACATTTTTTCATCTCAGTTGTAATCCCCATGGGCATACAATGGAACAAAGGAAATTTGTTCAACAAATGGTGCTGGGAAAACTGGACCACTGAAAATCTGAATGGAGCACTGCTCTTGGTAGGTGCTGTGAAGACAATAGTGTTTCAAGACTCTACCTTCAGTTCAAGGTCTTTGTATAGTTGGCCCTTGAACAGTGAGGGGTGAATGATGAACATTAGAGATACCAACTATTAAAAAATCTCCCTCCTGGCCCTCCCTGGTGGTGCAGCGGGTTAAAGCACTGCACTGAGAAGCGAAACCCAATTCCGCATGAGTTCGATTCCCGCCTGCCCTCGAGGTGACCACATGGCGCGGCTGACCTCTCCTGACCCGCCCGCTGCTCCTCTCAGCAGTGTACTTTGTAGATCTGCCTGTCCTGCTTCCCACTCTGTCTCTGGTGAAGCCACACACTGCTCCTGAGCCTCCGGCCTGTACCCCAGTTCTGTATGTACAAATAAATAAATCTTTAAAAAAAAAAAACTCCCCATAAATTTTTAAAATTTAACTCTATGTATGTATGTATGTATGTATGTATGTATGTATGTATGTATGTATGTATGTATGTATCTATCTATCTATCTATCTATCTATCTATCTATCTATCATTCTTCATTTTGTAAATTTTTTCATCTTGGTTGTAATCCCTGTGGACTTCCCACCACCAATTCACCATTGTGCCATAAATTTTAACGATCCTAAAACTTAACTACAAGTGGCTTATGTTTAGCCAGCAGCCTTATTGTACCACACACAGCTAATTAACACATACTTTGTATGCTATCAGCTACTGCATTCTTACAATAAGGTAAGGACAACGAAAATGTTAAGAAAATCATAAATAGGTCACCAAAGTGTCTGCAGCCCTGTCCTCGTCACATTGAGAAGGCTGAAGAGGAGGGAGAGAAAGGGTTGAACAAAATCCATACACATGGGGAACCACACACTTCCAACATGGGCTACAAGCGTCAACTTCACTTGTCTGTCTGAATATCTAATTTTCCATTCATTCACCCATGTTTTTCTTTAAATTCCTCAGTGAATCATCCCAAACTCTCTCCAGGCTTTTAGCTCATCCATCTCCTAACTCCTATACATTTGCCTCCTCTACTTTCACTTTACATTTTACTTGTCATTCATGATACAATCCAGACATCATTTCTATCAGAACAATTGTACTCATATCTAGATGAGGTGATGTCCTTCAACTCTTATAACCTTAAGGCCTACTATTATACAGTCTCCTAAGTGACAGGTACTAATATCTCATTCTTGAATTACTGAACTAAATAAAAAAGCAGATTTCCTTGGTATTGCTCACAAGTAATGGCCTTATGAACTTCAAACAAAATAAAAGCAACTTTGCATTCATGCTGGGAAGTGGACTAGAATGTGTGAATGATCTTAGGACCTGGAAATATAGTGGGGACTGCCCTTCATAAAATACTGAAATATTTACAAAACTGAAAACTCATCTATTTGAACACATATAGCATACTAGTTTCCTATTGCTCATATCCAAATTACCAACTTGAGGGGTTAAAAGAATATCCATCTACAATCTCACATTTATGGAGGTTAGAAGCCCAATGTCAGTTTCAACAGGGCCAAACTCAAGGTCTGGCAGGACTGTGATCCCTTTGGCAGGCTCCATGCAACAATCTGCTTCCTTGGCTTTCCCAGCGTCTAAAGCTGCATTCTGTGAATTCCTTGACTCAAGGGGCCCCTTTCTCTATCTTCAAAGTCAGTCCTGGATCTTGCTTCAGTGGTCACACTGCATTCTTTCCTGTCAAAGCCCCCCTCTGTCTAGCTCTTCTGTGGACACTTATGATCGCATTTAGGTCCTACTTGGGTTATCTGGCATCATCTCCATATCAAAATTCTTAACATGAGCACATCAGCCAGGCTGCTTTTGCCATACAAGGTATCATGACAGGTTCCAAGGATGAGGACCAGGATATTTTTGGGACCAGGGTTTACAATTCATTCCAACTCATTAATTCAAAACTAAGTATAAGATATAGCTCAATCACATGCCAGAAACTGTTAAGTAGTAGGGCAACGACATCAAAGATGTAGTGCCTGCTTTCAAAATGTCTTAGTTCTGTGGGTGAGAGCACAGGAAATTGTGATAGGCATAAGCATGGGATACCACGGAAGCACACGAATAGTCAGCATAGACTCCAGTATCAAGAAGAGATGCCAAAGCCACTATCAAAGGCAAATGTCACAAACCCATATACTCTATTTTACTGCAGACATGCAAATCCATAGTTTTAAAAAGCAAAATTCTTCTTGACTAAAAACACAGCAGCTCCCCAATCTATCTTCATCATTCTTAATTCTGTTAGCACAATTTTAAATTCTTTTCACATACCTAGCACTCTAGCCCGTGACAGAAATATGTTCCTTCCA